TTTAATACATGTTAATTAGATAAAAAATTATTAACATAAAAAGGCCAATTGTTTATTTAATAATTACCGTTCAATATTTGATCATAGAGATTTTCCATGTACCTCACTGTAGTTCCTATTACGTAAAGATTATGAGCTTTAAAGCCGCAAGCTCTAACGTTAATTTCAATCTATACAGACGGTTAACAACAAATTAACTGTTTCCTTTTGTCCACAGTCCGAATCGTTAAGAAAAGTGACGCCGATTTTTTTATCGGCACTTGTTGGAGTTTATAATCGAAAACTGCAATTTAAACAAAAAAAATTTAATTTACGACTCAGGGAATTTTTTCTAAAATATTGCCTAGTTGCAAAATGAAATTTACCGCGTATTATAAGACTTTTCTGGTGTTTTACAATATGTATCGGTAGATGGTCAAAAGAGCTTCAATTTGAAAGAAACCACATAAAAATTCGTCAATTAATAATAAAGTTACAGGTTGTTAAAGTTTTCGACCTGTGGTTAAAAGATTAATAAAGATAATGAGAAATTTTTTTTGCGATCCCAAGCGGAAAGCTAAGGTTCTTTTAACTGTGAAATATCTAGACTTTGCTTCAATTGTACATACATTAAATTCGCGATCGAACGTAAACAGAATCAATGGTCCTTTCAATCTTTTAGTGCCGCGGAGTGGTGGGGGAAGTCGACCGCTGCTATTTGGTTCTCTCAAAAATTCACTAAGTGTCTTCAAAACGCATGGCGCGACTTTAACATTACTTTTCTCACCTGTTTTAAATTTAGTAATAAACTAAATGATGGCAATTCATTTGGTTTTGAATGAAAAAGGTCTTATTTTTCTGCTGGCAACGAAATATCATATATTTCTAATTAATTTACAAAAATATCTCTTAATCTATAATAAAACTAAAGTACAGAACAAAAGTTAAGAATTATATTTATCTGAAAACAACCAAGATATTAATAGTTTTAACTATTAATTAATTCTTAAAAAGCCTTAAGAAATGCTGAAAAATCAGAGTTAATTATAATAAATATAGTCATTAACTTTCGTTCAAGCCATTCTTAAATTTTCTAAAGCAAAGTTGAGCGCATTCAACAATTAAACATACAAAATTCGTAAAAAGAAAATCTTAATAAATACGGAAAGATAATGAATTATTCCCATATTTATATTTAGGTATAAAATTAAAACATATCCGAGCAACAAACAAAAACTATTAATTAAAATAGTTCTTGTTGATTACTCGAATGTTACTTACAATAGATAAATTACGCAATTTTTTAAGAGACTTGCAAGCAAATGCGCTTCCTTTAATTTAAAAAAAATTAGTAATATTGAGAATAAATTATTAAAGATAAAATAATAGTACTGTCGGCAGGATGCACATGTGCGCTGCAGATCTCTACTTTCGAAAGATGCTCGCAATCTGGCTACTCCGGATGGCCCGATCGTAAAATCGCTCTGATTGTTTTCAACATCCGAAGATTGCCAGATGCGCGAGCTGAAAACTGCCGTTCACAGAAAAAATTTTCCTTATTCGGCTGTACGCAGTTTTTCATCTTAATTTACGAGCTAAGTGTGTGGCCGGTATTTTTTTGTCTTTTTTTTTTGAGCTGCCGTTACACATTCATTCAATAAGTCATTTATTTTGAATTTTTCCCACAAAATCTTCACATTATTGTAATAAATTTTCTTATCTATCTGGCAAAGATGAATATTTTCTTCACCCCGCTATTGTTCCTCTTTACAGAATTTTTTAAACTTTTTTCATTAGAACTATTTTTTTTATTGCAATAATAAAACAATAATTACAATAATAAAAAACCGCCGCCACCATCAATGCCAATATTTAAATAAAAATAAAAAATGTTGCAACTTTCCATTATTTTTTTCACACATTTCATAAAGTTGTTGCAGACAATAGCATAGCTTGGCTCTTTTTTAACTATATTATTTTATACAATTTGAAAATCAAATGAACATAATTCAAAAAATTTATCCAAGTTGTGAGATTTTTGAACGATTGTTTTACGAGCATGCGGTTCTGTAATACTTCGAGAGCATGTTTTCTAACGTATGAATGATGAAAACTTATGAAGCTGCCTATCTGATAAATTCGCATCAATTTTCAAATAAATTAAATCATTCGATGATATCTGATGAACTTCTTTTTGTTCTAAATTTGACTGCTAATTTATCATTGACTATTTTTCTTTTCAAAAATTTGGAAGTCAAATGCTCAGATAGTTTTGGCTTTTCCATTCTTTCATAAATATTTTGTAGTAATGTAGTTGAGTTCCACTTATGACACTTTTAGCTATCACGGATTTTTTATTTTCTAAATAATTTTGACGATGTATTTCTTTCAATATTAAATTTTTCGATATGTCCTTGTCTAGATCTGATTTCGATACATAAAGTGCACTCACAATCTTTATCCGATTCAGAAGTACTGTCGAGCAAGACAGTACACTCATTCCCACGAGCCCTACACCTATGCATATACAAATATGATAGCTAGATATAATAAAAGATAGGCCGAACTTATTTTCCTTGCGCTTTAAGTAAACTGTTCCTACGTACATATTCAGAAACGTCGCCTAGAGTAATAGTCCCATATCTATGTAATATTAGTTCATGCGCATTCTAAGATACAGCTGCCCTTAAAGATAATGAAAACTACCGCCTAGCAACTGTTATAAATATGAGAGCCCATCATGGAACAGCGGTTATTCTTGTATAAGCTATCATAGCATAACGACGTCTCTCAGGAGCTCCGTCACTTTGAAATAGAGACTTTTCAATATAACGTCTATTTTAAAAATATTCATTTGTGCCTACATCGACGCCCGGATTCCTGCAAGTACCCACACGCGCTTTAACATCGACCATCACTACCATTGGGCGTAAAATCTTGTGAAAAGTGTACGTCTAGTTTAATAGATGACAGAACCACGAGTTGTCCTATTGAAATGATACCTAGAATAATCTAGAATTTTGAGCGAACGTTTTAAGCTTTCATTTGCATTAGCTCTCACAATTCTTAGCCGACAGATATCACACACTACAGTACGTAAGCATGAATTCTTTTAATTGAAATTTGGGAATAACTTTTTTACATCACTTTCAATTTTACCCGTAATTTTTAAATAATTTCTTTTTGGTTTCTTTTTATAAACATTGTTTGCGAACATATCGATAGATTAGCAGGTCGAGTTTGTGTAATTTCTTTGATTATAATAGCATATGTTTTTTTCAAACCCGCATTTTTCAGAAAAGGCCATGAAAAGTGATTTTAAAAAATACATGAATGTATTCAAAAAATGTCTATAAATAATAATAAAAAAAAATTTTAAGGCGATATTATTTTTTTATTCATGCTTGCTTCTAGAGTACCGTGATTCTTACTGTACTATTGAATATCGAAAAAACGTGCTCGTCAATCGCCTTAAAGTGCGCCTTCGAGAGACCTGGTTTAAAGTTAACTATAGTAATTTGTACAGGAGGCTCGAAGAATAAGATGGTTTTTTCGGCTTTAAAAAATATTGAATAGATTAGTAGAAAACGTTTAAACAATGGTATTTTAAGCAAAATTTCTACGTAAGTAGACACGAGAATGTGCAAGCAACACAGTCTGCGGCGGCAGTAGGCGAGTATACGATTGAGAGAGAGAGAGAGAGAGGCTAAGGTACGCGCGCAGCTTCAGCTGACCGCCTAGGGGAATCGCCGGCCGGAATAACAATTCATTTAAAAACAGTCTCTGAAGCTCACTCGCATGACAGTTTACCTTTCTTGAATGGAATGTGAGAGGGAGAGGAAATAATAAAAAAACTTAATATTCATGTATGAATATGGTAGTAGAAAAGAAATATTTGCAAATAAATAAGTAAAATATAATGGCTATTAGCAAGGAAGATAAGAATATTTTGTAAATAAATGTTTTAAAACTAGAAGCAAGGAACCATCTATGAGGATGTGCAGCTGAGTTGATTGATCATTTAATGTATTCAAAGAAATGTTGCATAAAGAAGTCCCATAAAAAATATGCTATTGATATTAATGTATTTATTGGAATACTCGAGTATGTAGGAAAGTGACTTAGATTTAAAAGCGAAAATCAAGCTGTCTAATTTTCTTCGAAGTTTCTAGAAAACTATAAACTTGTAACAAGTAAACTTGCGTGGTGTGAAGAACAAACTACTACTATATATGGCATCACGAGCCGATAACGAGATTGAGTCAGAAACCTCATACTTATGCACTATAGATCATAGTTTGTCTTTATAAGACGGTCCTCCGATATAGATAAACTTTTTCTTGTGTACTTAATAAAATAATACCTTATTTATGATTTAAGTATATTTATATGTTAATTTTTATTAATAAATAATTCCATAACCCTATAGTAATAGTCGTATCAAATAATTTCGAACTGTAAAGGAACAGGACTTAGAAATTTAAAAAATGGAGTTGAAATCAGGATGGCAAAGGTCGTAAGCTTAATTGAATTGTTCATGTAATTTCGTTATCGCGATGTTAAAGAAAAAAAAATAAGAGAGAAAGAGAGCAAGACAGAGAGAGGGAGAGAGAGAGAGAGAGAGAGAGAGAGAGAGAGAGAGAGAGAGAGAGAGAAGGAAAGAAAGCGCTAGCACGATGTGTGTGCGCGCAGTTTTTGGAAGGTAGGTATATAATAAGATATAGTGACCGCTGCGCATTTTGAGCAGAGCCGAGTGGTAGAGGGAATTTGAGCACGAGTTTTCACATGGAAGCTTTTGTATTTGTGCTCTGGTTCGGACGTTCAGAGCGGTTCCCCTCCCTTGTAGCGCGCCAATATGCCTGGTTCTGCCTGTTTCGTTTCTCCGAGTAAAAGAGGGGAGCGGGGAGCGAGGGATCGCCGATGATGGGTCGCGCCGCCGTGGCCGTTGCCGTAGCCGAGGCTACACGTGCGTCTCGATGCGCCGACTCTGTATAAGATATAGTAGCATTCTGTCGGTCGGCAGCTCGGGTACATAGCGGTCCCGATGTCACAGCGTCTACTCGGCGGAGTTTTGTGTGATATTTACATTCTCGTCAATCACTTTCAGGCGACAACGACACAAGCGAGCATTTATCACTCCATTGAATGATGATATGAAGGCTAGTCGAGTGTAAATAACGCGGCGCGCGCGTTCTCTGTACCTCTTTAAAACTGTGTGCGATAAAGAATTGTGAGTGCCGAACGGCGAGCCGAGGAGCGACGAGTGCTTGGCTGCATTGCACGTGCTCGTACACAACTAGCTTGTATTCCTGATCGCCTGCGCTATTCCGGCTGCGTCTCACCGCAATGGCCAGCACAACCAGCCCTAACTCCATTTGCCTTAGTCTGTTGGCCTGCCTGTTGCTCGGTAAGTCTCTAAATGACACTTTCATTCTGTCCGATCACAAATCACTTCCGGCCAGCCGTTTCCTCTTCTTCTGCGTACTACACGAACATTCCAGTTCAGTGGTTCTCTTATTTTTCTCGCCCGAGAACGCATCGCCGCAACTCCTATAAGTATCATTTCTGCACGTTGAAATAGTCAACTGACTCATCAGCCATCGACTCGTCTTTCAGGCTGCATGCCTGCGTAAAACAACTCATTTCATTTCAATTTTCCTCTTGCACTTTTCTCCTCACCAACACCCGTCATGCGAATTCCACATCAACGACGTTTCATTACGTAATTACTGCAAGTACGCTAATATCTTGGAATCGATGATAATAATAATATCGTTATTGACGCATATATAATCCATTGATCTTCAATATGGACAACACTTTTATCAAATAACAAATTTATTAAATATTTTTACGCGATTATATCGAAATATTTGAATTCCATCGAATTGTAATCTTGATAAGAATATACTCGAGTGATATTAATTCATAATGATTTACTTAGCATTCTCTTAAATTCAAGCTAAAGTAAACATAATCTCATTTACTTTTGAGTTGTGTTGAGAACAGCAAAAAAAAGCTTATTTAAATAAACTATTATAGATTAACTATCTTGTGAAGTTTATCGTACCTTGCTAAAGTTTCGTATTCATTATTGTTGGTAAACTGATTTCACGGTTTGACTGTAAATATAAATTTAAATTGTAAATGTAATTTGATTTTCAACGAACTCATTGAGGCCGATTAAACCAGCAAAAGCTATCTTCTTCCGCTGCTATCCTATTTCTTATCAAATCATTGTCGTTGTCATGAAGGGCAACGTACTGTTTTGAACTTTTATAATTTACTTGCCAATAGTTGCGTACTTGGACAGAGCAGCATTAACAATAAGATCTTGGTCGGCAATTGGCAAGATTTGCTCGTAATTGCGAGCTTAGCCTTCTATAAGCTCACAAATGGGAATAAAGCGAGGGTCACACTTTCGAAAATACAATAGTTCAACCTATTATTATAAGTACGATGCTTGTCAGCAATAAAAATGTTTTGATTACTAAGCTCGCTGCTAGCTGATCGTTAATTTCTAACTTGCCATACAAAATTGAATTAAGTGGACGGAGTCAGTATAAGATTTGTCTCCAAGTCTTAGAAATTTTTTTTTTCACTTTCTAGCACTTTCTATTCCGACATTCTCGCTTATCTGATTTTTAGTATTCTGTGTCTTCGCGTTGATTCAATCTCATACGGCAGTCTTGTTTAACAAAACAATCCATGGCCACCAGTAAATAATATGGCATTTGTAATTGACTCCAGCTGTTGAACAAAGTTTAGTTTAAACATCGGTAATCGCAAACGTTTAATGAGTGACTATAGTTTTAGTGGTTTGTCATTCCGAAAAAAAATTAACGAGCGATTTTACGTTAATTTAGATCAAAGCAATGCGCCTGCAAAGCTGATCTGCTGACCGGTGGAGTAAGTCAATCAAGTCAAATAAATGCAAACGAAACGAACAGTGCGCACGCTACAAAATAACAAAGCGTAGGCTACGGTTAGATTGGCGATAGCGTACAGTGCAAAATAAATGATGATTGTGGCAAAGTCACACTGCTGCTGTTGCTACGGCATCGCATTAACAACATATTCGTACGCGCATATGGGCTCCAATCAGTCAACTGCGGTCTTTGAACCTGTTGAACTGTTGGCGCTGCCGCCGCGACGTTTATGTTGCTTACGCGCCAAGAAATTCAAGAAGCGCCGAGCGATGGCCTCGATTTTACTTTCGGTGTTATCGGCACTTTTTCCCTTCGATAGCTTGCATCAGATTCCGGCCATTAGCAACTCATCGGCAAATCGAAAGTTGCTCTTCGATATACATAAATCTGAAATTTTCAAGTGGCATCGTCAGCGCTTCATTTTTTGCGTTAAATTTCAGTTTTTCAATGAATCATCTTCCGAGTCTTTTGTTTGTCGCTTATTTAAATGGTCCACTGCAAGTATGACCTCATGCTATTTGGTGAAATGTCGTCCGTATTTTTTTATTAATTTCTTATGCCAAAATAATACATACTTCTTAAGTTCTTCCACAAATTTCTACTGTAGTTAGTTAATTATTGTTTTAAAAAAATGTTACTTCGTGTTTTGATAAGGTCAACAATAATAGTAACCAATAGGTTTCTAGTGTAATGGTGGCAAGAAGTTTCGTTATAAAATAGAATGTAATGTAAAACAATAATGATGAACAACTTTATTTCACTTACATCCACTTGGTCGTTCATTATGCTTATAACATTTTCAGACTGCGTTGCTGTTACCATGCTTATGAGCTGCAATCATTATCGAGTTAAGTTCAATGCCACATTCTTACTGGCTGTCATGGACATAATATATGTGCGGAATATGCGCATGCTACATAATATAGCTGCAAACTACAAACAATACATTTTCAAAACTTACGATAATGTAATTTTATAAAACAATCGGCCGCAAACATTCCTTTATAAACGGTAATTCCATGCAAACTGTATAAATAGAACGACGATTATTGCGTAACGTTACATCAGAATTCATTTTGAGAACAGACACGATGGAAAGAAGAAGCGATATGCTTCTAAATATAAATGACCTTTTAATTTTTCTTTTTAGTTTGTTTTCAATCAAGCAGAATTTCACAAAAACTAGAATCGTTAAACTTACATGTTCGACGATTTTGTTGGACGCATATAGACTACAGATGCTCTCTATTCGCAACCTAAAATTAGGCGCCTTCTTTCTAATTTTACGTGCCAACCTTCCAAAGAATGCAGGCTATCTATGTGCTTCCTCCATAGAGTCGAATCTTAGGCATGTATAACAAATTGACGTCACTGCGTATACTGTGATCAAAAAATTCCACTCTTCGTAGATAATCTACGACTACTATATACTTACAATTCTCATACCTGATTGTCATAATATAATGTATCACGATCAGCAGTAAAGTTCGCCTGATGAACAATTTTTGAAGAATAATTAATAATAAACAATAATAATTTTGCTTCTTCGTAGAAAATGAAGTAGTCACTTATGTTAGTCACAAAAATAATTACGTAGGATACGACATATCACGAGTTGTGAAGCAATTATTTTTCGATATCATATTTTTATTTTTTCAGCATGTCGGATTAATTTCAGGGAACATAATATTTTTTAAACTGAAAAAATAGATAGATACGTGATGGATTGCAAGGCTTTATCGAAGTTATTTGATTGTACTTATAAATTGAATACATCATTACGAGTAGATTTGATTCGTTTGATATCACATGGAGAGAAAAGATTGAAAATCATCTGTATTTCATAAATGTGCGCATCACGCGTTTATTTGCGGTTACTCATTCGTGGTAATATTTTTATTTCTCACAAACAGTTATGAAAACTTTGTGACCATTCAGTTAATTGTTGAATGTCAGTCTGATTAAAGATATGTAAAATATAATCTGGTATTATAAACAATATTAAATGTTTATTATTGTTTACAGAAACATAAATTAACTTATTCAAGAACAATTAGTATAATTTCTTTATCGGCATGGACTATTGCTCTCTTGTTTAAAAGCCTCATCCTATCTTTACTGTAATCTTTTAAATTAAATGAAAGTAATGAAAATAATTAGGGCTATGAAGGTAAAGGAGTATTAGAATAGATCAACTTTGAATACAAAAGTTAAGAAGCTTCTAGTAGAGAAATATTATCGGTTTGTTTTTATTCTAATTATTACGATGGTAAAAAATAGCATGGAGGTTAGTTCGAGAACGGGCTTTTATAGCTGGAATGACAAATGCTTTAATGAGCGCTAAATTATCGGAAAAGAGGCTGTCGCGCATAGCAGGTTATCATGTGTCACGGGAGGTTTTCCGCGTGTCTCTCCCCCTCTTGCGCTTTCTCTCGATTTCACCCCTCTGACAATTTCGGTGAGCTCCATACCTACCCAAATATTGAACGCACTGACGATTCTTTTCAAATTTAAAAACACAAATGGTTTTGTTATTGCAGCACACTTAATCCACGCATGAATTGCGGCTGAACAAAATTTGTTAGAAAATAACTTGACGAAAATTATTGAAAAAGAACTGACATATAATGGTCTTTTTTCATTTGAGGATGCTAATTACGCGGTTAAATACTTTTGGGAAAATATAAAAAACTATAAAAGTATTATATGAACATCCATTCTTGAGTTCTTTATCATAATTTTACTAAAATAATGTACTGGAACATAAGTCATTAATTAACAGCGGATCATTGCGCGATCAAAGTAACAAGTGGAAAATAATGCGCGTTTAGGAATACCAGTATTAACACGAATCCGACAAATGAACTAGTGAGAAGCAGTTCGTTCATTCTTTAGCGATCTTCTTTTTCGGAGATAGACATTGTTATGTATTTTCATAAACTTGTTGCTTATGGGAAATATACGAATGCGTTTAACGTGGCAGTACAATGATTCACGATTGTTGATGAAAGAATTAGAGGAAATTATTTGAGGAGTACAGAGTATTAAATAAATTCCTTAGTGTGGCGACGACTACTTTGGCTGCGGTTGTAAAACTGATGAACATACCGAAACAAGAAGTGGAGAAGCTTTAGAAAGAAAGAGAGAGGAGGAAGATAGAGAGAAAGAGAGTAGAGAGCGTTGGCTGCGAATGTAACATACTCGGCGAGAGAGTGAGAGAGAAAGTATAGTGGAGACGAGAGCAGGTATAGACGAAGCCGGTTTGCTGTCTCTGTTTGGTGCTAGCCTTCTCCTACTCTTTCGGTTCTACCTCCCTCCCGGCCTCTAGCGCGCTTAGAGTCATTGCCGAGGAGAGAGAGAGAGCACAAGCTATCCTAAACGCGCTTAGTTCAACTTAGCCACCTCCACGGCGCGCCTGCTCTCCGCCTACTTCTAAACAGCGCTTTACCAACAACCCACCGACTTACCACCTCGCGCT